TTGTGACTTGAAGTAAATTAATTTGCTCTTGGATTAAATATTTCTGTCTTATAACAAAAATACACTTTTGAGACGTTTTTTTACTACTATCAAGTAATTATTCTCTAGCGTCTATAGGGAGAGTATCGTTTTGTTGGATTTAATAAATTTGTCTTCATATAAAGAATTTTGTCTTTTTCTAAGTAATCTGTTTTTACCGTGTATAAGAAAAATCGCAACATCAATAATAGACCATAACACAATGCGAAGTGAAGTTGCATAATATAAATTGTTACTAACATAGATTTAGTTTGTTGTTTATTTTATGTGCCTACAAACAGATATGCACTCTTTGTGGCCTGAATAAATAAGATTTTAATTTGAATAAATGGGAGTCGAACAAAACTTCCGCGAATTCCCATGATCTTGTCAAAGGGGCAAGTTATGGGAAATGCCGTATTTGCTCAAAGCAATATCTTCGGAAGCACTTCCTGTCTTCTAACAAAGCATAGACTACTTTTCGACTCCCGCATGTAACAAGGGTACTTACCTCAATTGAGCGCAATAGAACTGGTGCGGGATGGCAGTCAACACGCCTGCGCCGTCGCCGGTGTCGTTGTCGCACGCGCACGCGCCTCGGTGCTCCATGCGCTTGGCCAGCACCTCTGCATCTCGTACGATCTGTTGCATAATTATTACATTAACCGCAACGTTACATTATTATTACATTAATTGCCTCCGTGGCAAACAGGTTGAATTGCCACGGACTGTCACGCAGAGGTCCCAGGTTCGATTCCCGGGCCGGTCGAAATATTTGTATGGCCTACATTTATTTCCCTCGTGAGTTTGGATGTAATTTGTGGTTGTCTATGTGTGTGTTTCCCTATGTTGAATGTGTGCGTTATTATTACTATTAAAAAAAAGGTTTCAGTTATTTTTTGGCAATTCAAAATCAAAATAACATTGACTTACCAACAAATGGACTTCGGGTCTAATACAAAAACCACGAAAAAAAGTCCGAAGTTAACCTACACAAACCTAGTGACATGTAACGAAATATAAAAAAAACTAAAACATTTAATTTAAATTGTAACGTCATTGTTGTACTGCCTAATTTAGCTTGCAACAATTTAAAGGGCCCAAAAACACCATATTCAGCTTCTACTGGAAGCTTAACAAAATGCACCATACTTAGCTTCGACTGAAAATTACTAGAACACAACAGTAATGGAGCAGCCTTTATTGTAAATATCAATTAATTTTATTATGTATTACGTCAAATTTTGTACAAATTCACTTCAAGATATAATAAAGAGTTGGGCTGATACATACATACAAATATTAGGGGTTTAAGTATGAAATTGCCGTTTTATTGCAATAGGTTCTTTGAATTTTCATAGAATCTTCATGGTTTGAGGTTTTCGAATGAAACTTTTTTCAAATGGTTTCTGTGATTTTTTTTTTTAATTTGAAACATTTGAATATCGACTTTCAATTGTTTTTGTTATTCAATTTAGACAAGAAAGATGGATACTGCGAAAATTCGAGTGATTTTTGAATACGAGTTCCGACGCGGAACTAACGCGGCAGAAACAGCCCGCAATATCAATGCTGCGTTTGGAGAGGGGTCTACTAATGAACGCACCGTGCGATTTTGGTTTAAACGCTTTCGTAATGGAAATTTCGACTTAAAGAACGAGCCACGAGGAAGACCGCCCACACAGGTGAATAACGATGAATTAAGAGAGATAGTGGAAGCCGATCCTAGTCAAACTACCCAGGAATTAGCGGCATGGTTTAACGTTACCTTACCCACAATATTGACTCACTTGCGTCAAATCAATAAAATAAAAAAATACGAAAAATGGGTGCCTCATGATTTGACTGATCTGCAGAAAGAAACGCGTGTTGAAACTTGTGTTGCCTTGTTGAACCGGTACAGAAATGAAGGAATATTGGATCGAATTGTAACATGTGGTGAAAAGTGGATTCTTTATGATAACCGGAAAAGAAAAATGCAATGGCTGACCCGAGGTCAAATGCCACAACAGTGTCCTAAAGCAAAACTTACCAATAAAAAGGTAATGGTAACTGTTTGGTGGTCTCAGCATGGTGTTATTCACTATAGTTTTCTCCGATCTGGTCAAGCAATAACGGCAGATGTCTATTGTGCCGAACTCCGAACCATGTTGACAAAACTAGCAGTAAAACAGCCCCGACTCATGAATCGATCTTCACCATTATTGCTCCACGACAACGCGAGACCTCACACAGCACGAGAAACCATTTTGACCCTTCAGGAACTGCAGTTAGAAACCATTCGTCATCCTCCGTATTCACCAGACCTTGCTCCAACGGACTACCATTTTTTTTCGTGATTTGGACAATTATCTACGTGACAAGAAGTTTTCTTCCCAGGAGGCAGTACAAAATGCTTTCACACAGTTTGTGCAGTCTAGATCGTCGGAGTTCTATCGCAAAGGCATTAATAACCTTCCCATTAGATGGCAGCAATGTATAGATAATAATGGCAACTATTTTGATTAAATAAATTTGTTAAAAATTTAAAAAATAAACAATTTAGATTTTCAGTACAAATCGGCAATTTCATACTTTAACCCCTATTATTACAAATGTGAAAATAAGTGTGTACTATAAGTAATGTACCGATATTCCAACTAAACGTAAACTCAAATATCCGTAATTCCGAAAACCGATTTATAATAAAACAGTTACGTTTTCAAGTAATTTTGATGCTTCTTACAAAGCCAAAATTAGCTTTTGTTTTGTGATATTCTTAAAAAAATACATTTGACATTATGAAAATTCGAGCTAACGTTATTTTGGGCAAATGTATTTTGTGACTCCTGATAGGTAATCCCTAGTCGTAAAATGAGTACAACACTATTTTGTTAGTTATTGCTAACGTTTAATAAAAAAATATTCTAATAAATAAAATTAAAATCAAGTCGACTCTATAGTTTCTTTGTTCCAAATATTTCAATCGCTTATGGTTCGAATAATTCAAAATGACCAAGAAGTTTATATTTAAAGCTTCTTGAAAGTGACGTAATAGGTCTCTTTCCATCTTTTGCGCATGCAATGTGTAGAAAAAGGACAGTTAGTTATTTGATTATTTTGCTTGCTTTTGTAATTTATATTTACGATTTATTTATATATAAATTAAATACTATACAACTGTACAAAATAACACTTTTAAATGATAACTATGATAACACACTATATTTGTTTAGTGAAAATATGGTACAGAATCCAGTTTTTACACTTTACTGCAGTAATTTTTACAAGTTATTATTATATTATACTGCATGATTGACAACCGCGCTGTCAGTCGAACAAACGAAATAGTCTTCGTTTGTTCGTTTGACGGTATGTATGCGATTTTAACGCCCTATAGGTGCGGACACTTTTTAGTGCGAACCCGATGTCCATTTGTTAGTAGGTGAATGCAAAATAATATATATTTCATAGGTAAGCATTATTACACTTGAAACCGTCACATTGGCTAAACTCTGCCGCTCATTCGTAAGGTAGATTCCCCCGAAAAAAATTAGCAAGAGTCTCTAAGGGTTGCTCTTTGTAAATAACATTTGTTTACATTCCACATTTACAATATATATTTTTTGTTTTCAAACATCAGAGATCCAGACTACCTCCATGAGCTAAACGGGTTACTACCACGGATTTTTGTCATCCAAATACGCAGAAGTTGTATAATAAATAACCTTTAGTATAAAGTTTTTGTTTCACTATAGTTTTCAACCTAGTGAAAGGCAAATTTTTCATATCAACCGGAATCTTGTTACAGAAGCGTACACTTTGCACCTTAAATGAATTTGTGACTTCGTGAAGAGTCGTCTTCAGGCTATTGGCCTATTGTAAAGGTGTTTTGAGAATTTATATACATACCATATTTCGTTTCGGAAATATAAAATCGAACAACGGCCGATCGATCTGACATCCACAGTGAAAAAAAACAAGCGAAATGTATTAATTAATGTAGATGTAGTAATCGCAAAAACCTAAGAAGCAATTTTATATATTTTCATATTTTACTTTTTTTATTTATTTTTTTTATTAGATTTACTTCGTACAAGTACCATCGTAAATCAAGAAATGCAAGTACGAATAACATGAACCTAAGCCTATAAAAGTGCGTGCCAAATATGTGCAAAACCGCCGCATACTAGTTTGAGCTGTGGCCAAACTGGACAAATCAAACTCGCAACTAGGTCGTGTGCATTACGTTCTATATTACCTGTACATATCTTACTCTTACTACTACTTATTACTGACGTCATAATAACAACTGCCTCCGTGGCCGAACGGTTACCATGCCGGACTGCCACTCAGGTCCCAGGGAGACCCCCTGTCGAGAGTAGACACTCTCGATCTTAGTCCAACATACATCCGTCCGAAACAATTACTGTCAAATAAGTAATATTCGACAAAATTAAATTCCCGGGGCGGGAGAAATATTTGTATGGCCTGAATTTATTTCGCTCGTGAGTTTGGGTGTAATTTGTGCTTGTCTATGTGTGTGTCCATGGCACCCACGACATAGGGTTTCCCTAGTGCGGGGCTATGGTGAGTGTGTGCGTTATTTTTATTATTATTACATTCGTAAGGTAAGACAGAGTGAGAAACTGTAAGAGGTTTCTCTTTGTGAATAAACATTGGTTTATCATAGA